CTTAACAACTGTCGGGAAGGAAAGGGTTATGGAAATATGAAATTATTTAGATTATTGTCTATAAATTATGTGCATCAATACAGCAGAGGTGTTTTGTTCATAATACTGCAGCAGGGACATAGAAAAACTGTGCAGAAAGTGTGAGAGCGCAGCTAGTAGTGTGCTGCAAGGTTTCATCATTATTGAAATGAATAGGCTAGGAGGCAAAATTAAGGTTGTTTGATGTATATGATACTACCTGGGTTTTTTTGAGAGGAATATATCTATGGTATCTGCATGTCCCTGAGGAAGGAAAGGGGAGTTTCATTAGTTAGCCAAGGTAAGACTAGAAATGACAGAATTAAATAAAATTGCAGATTAAATAGCCTCGAACAGCATTAAGACCAGCAAACAGGGAAATAGACCAGCTTCAGAAACAAAAAATACAACTAAAATTATTTATAAGCTGAAGGTCACAGCTTTTCACATGTTCCTTTTGAAGATAGTCCAGTAACACTAGATCCCTGAAAAATGCAAAACAAGAAAGGAAATGGACTGCAGCTGACCAAACTGTGGTGCTCATCCAGACCTCTATGCTGTCAGTATCAAGTTTTTTAATCCCTCCTATCTTCTCTGCTGCCTTGCAACTTGCAAAATGCATTTGCACCCATGCAATCTGGTATAAAAAGCTATCATGTTAATGTGGTAGCATTTTCTATTGGTGAGGCACTCGTAATCATGACTATGCCAGAAGCAAGGCAGTGGAGAATAAGGCTCTTGGAATTTGTGGGCCAGATACTCACAGGGAATGGGGAGTTACAGGTGTCTTTTACAGATTAATGAATATCAGGTTTTATGGAACTATTCCACTAGCTAGGATAACCTCAGTGCATTAGCTACTGGCCTTGTCCTACTTGTAAACCCCTACACTGTTGTACTAGCCCTACACTACTGAGGCTTGCCGATGACAGCTGCTGCCTCAAGATATATTTACATCCCTTTTGTGATTCTGCCCCATGGGGATTTATTAGGACCTGAGAAACTGACTCTGAGTTTGCATGACTGAAATATACTTGAATCCTAAAGTGACATTTTGAGTTCCTGAGACCAGAATACGGGCAGTACTATCATAATCTATGATAGTACTGCAGTACTTTGACGACTACTAAGTAACCTTTATCTTTATGCAGCAACACTTAAAGTGGTGTGCTTCATTTTTAAACTCTTCTGTTTCAGTCATAGACCCAGGTGATATCTATGTAATGGCTGAACTATGTCATGTATTATCAGGGATCTGGGTTTCCCATTTTCCACAGGTAAACAGAAAAAACCATGGATTTCCTCTTTTAACTGAGGAAAACGGGGATTTTTCATTTTGATGGAGAAACATGCAGATTTTCAACGTTTGCAAAGAGCTCTCTGCAGGCTGGTAGAGTTTCAGCCTTTAAGGGGCTGGGGAAGTGGGAGGAGGGTCAGGCAAGGAGCACCATGTGCATGTGTACATGTATGCATGCACATGGCCAGCAGGCACCTGGAGAACAGCTCCCACAGGTAAGTCTGGCAAGGAGAAGGGGGATTGTGGCTCCATAGGGAGGGAGGGAGGGAGTTGGCCAGGCAGTGTGCGGGGCTTGGGGCCTGAGGCTGGAATGCGCAGCCACAGAGCCCTGGTAGGGAATGGGATGGAGCTGCAGGGGGCTCGTCCCGGGAGGGGGG